CCGAACGATGAGAAAGGATAGAAGCAAAGTGTGAACTAAAGATGAAAATTTTGAAGTGAGAAGATTTATTCAATTGTAACAAAGAGAAAGTGTGGATCAAAGTGGAAACCTTTGCCTGGGAATTCAATCGTATCATTGGAACTGGGAACTGAATAAGAAGAAGGTAGATAACTTTAAAGAGAAAGGTGATACCCAAAACCGTTTTCAGGAACCCAAAACCGTTTTTTTACTTAAATATGTACATTTTTTACTTTCAGTATTGGTAAGTTTAATTTAAACATAAGTAAATTTTGTCAAATAATAAGTAAATTAAATTACTCAAAGTGTAAATTTCTATTTCTGACTAAATCTTATCTTTCAGGCATATACTTACTAGTTTTAATTAAAAACTTACTAAAGTTAATATTAATTATTTTAATATAATATTTAAAAAGTCACTAAAAGATTTGATCTGTCACTAAAGGTAATAGAAACCTATAATAGCAGGTTTCCCTAATATCGTTACCATAACTATAGGCACTGTAGCACTGTCCTACCTCTATAATGACAACAAAAAAGATTAAAAATCTAGCAATCTCATCTATCTCCCTCCTCGGAATCAAAGTAGTTGCCCAGGGTAAATACTTGGGACTCCCCCTTGTTATAGGACGGTCAAAAAATCAGATTATGAGTTTCATTCGGGAAAGTGTCAAAAAGAAAATTCAAGGTTGGGAAGGAAGATTGCTGAGCCAAGCAGGAAAAGAAGTCCTCCTGAAGTCAGTAGCAATGGCCATGCCAGCTCATGCTATGTCAGTCCTCAAATTGCCAAAGGGATTATGCAAGGAGTTAAGTTCCATCATGGCAAACTACTGGTGAGGTAGCGAAGGCAACAAGAGGAAAATCCATTGGATGAGCTGATCCCATTTGACAAATATCAAAGAAAGGGGAGGATTGGGTTTTAGGGACCTCGAGGATTTCAACATGGTCTTACTAGCAAAGCAAGTTTGGAAGTTCATCACAAAACCAAACTTGCTTGTTAGTAAGATCATGAAAGCTAAATATTTTCCAAATTCTTCTGTTTTACAGGCCACAAAGGCAGTCAGGGATTCATGGATTTGGCAAAGTATACACAGCTCTATAGGCCTTATAGAAGAGGGAAGTAGGAAGAATGTGGGAAACGGGGAAACAGTCAACATCCACTACAAGAAAACTGACTTTTCACGACGCCAGAATTGTGCTGCAAAAAGTCAAAAAACTGCCGCGAAAACCTTTTTGCGGCACAAATGCGACGGAATTAAATTGTGTCATAAAAGTAGCCGTTACAAAAGAAAACGACACAATTTTTAATATGTCGCATGCATTTGCATCGCTCTTTGCGACGCCAATTTGAGTGTCACCACTCTACTTGGGGCACAAAAATGCGCTACAAAATGTCCACAATGTCATGCGACAAAAACTTGCGTCGCAAAAAAGTCACCAATATAAAGGCCAGAAATCAATTTTTTCATAGTACAATAGTTATCATGCTCAAATATCCTAAAATCGAATATTATAACAAAATATAGTTCCATAATACACTAGAATAAAGTATCATACATTGTTTTAGTCAAATTCTACAAACTTTATCATTTAATATTGTTCGCTCCAATTACAAGATGTTTCATATATTCCAAAATGTGCTTGTCTTCAAAAGTACAACACTTCATCATACATCTCTCAAAAACATCTTCATATCTCCCAATCCGCGTGCTTCCAACATACCATCCATCCCCATTTGAACCAAACCATGAAACCAACTCCACATTTAACATCAAGTCCAGTACTGCAAAGTGTATTCTATTAGTCCCCTGCTCATATAACCCCAGCCCATTAAGCATGAAGAAAACGTTAATATAACAATAGACACTGAAACGGAATTTGTAATTCAATTCTAACATCAAGAAAACCACCAAAAAAAAAGGAAAAAAAGGGGAAAAAAACCCCTACTTCAATCTTTTCACAGACATTGAAAATTAAGACCACTTCTACTACATTATGTCTCACAAATAGCTTGACAGAATAGAGTTATTTCCAGAAACTTTTCCAATACCTCAAGCAAGTCGTTTGCAAGTAGTCCTGCTCCTTTTCTTCTTTGTATGGTGGTTTTGGTATAACAAAAGACTAGTCAATTAAATATCAACAAGGAGCTCATGCACAAATAGTCATCAACAAGGAACTCATGCACAATTCAATATCAACAAGGAACTCAGCAAAATTGGTCTTCTATAGAAGGACCAACTCAAAGTACGCATATTATACCTCAAGAATATCAGCAATTGAAGAAACTTTTTTATTCATTTCACACTTGTTTATTTCTGCATCATTTGTTCCAACTTCCCTGTTCATTCTATCGCCAACCTGTTACATTATCAACAAAGTGTGAAGAAAAGAAAATCAGGCCATAGCTGCTGATATTTCAGAGAGTTTGAACACAAAATCGAATTGTATGAATTAATATACAACCTCTAATGAGTCCAAAATTTGAGATTGTTTTGCTGCATTCATTTCTCTTCTTTGGAGTGATGCCAAGTCACATGTGGATGCCCCCTGGAAGAACAAAGATAAATAGTAACTAAAGCAATAAAAAATTAGAAAAACTATAATATTTAACCAAATAGTTATCCCAAACCATTCTTGCTTCAAATTGAGCAATCAACTCCTCCTTAAAATCTGCCAATTTCGAATTCATTTCTTCTCGTAGTTCACCACGTATGATTTCCACTTTCTCATTCACTGCATCCTCAAATGCTTTCTTTTGTCCAGCATTCATGTTATCTGACATCCTATACACGTCTTTTGGAGTTGCACCTACCCCATAAGTTTGAAGACGACCTGGTTTTTTAGGTCCAATAATATTTTCATAGAGTATATCGTTCACAAAATTATCATCCCTGGATGTCTCTGGCAGTTTTTGTATTTCCTCATTCATAGTTGCCTAAATTGAAAAACAGACAGAAGAAAGAATTATTTGTGAAGTAAAACCAATAAAAAGTGACTAAAAGCTATTCTTACAATTGTTTGTGAAGTCAACTCATCCATTTGTTTTCCTTGTCTTGAATGAATAAAAACGTCTAGTTTCGAAGGCTCCTTTCCAGTTTTAATCCGAAGCTACCACATATTTAATGTACAAACTAAAGTGTTAATATTTCTAAATAAGACTACTTTCCAGAAAAAATTGCTAGAAACATAAGCATTAGAATTTAATATACCTCTTCCTTGAGGTTCACATGATCTTTTCGCCCTGTTCGATGTGGCATCTTTTTTTTTTCGATTCTTGCTATTAATCTTGCTTTGCTTCTAATTATGTACAAAACAGAAAAAAATAGTTAACAACACATCAAATCATAATAGCACTAGAATTTAATTCAAAAGCAAAAGAGATGTGACAATAAATACATGCCTTGACATCTTCTGAGCTCCAATAATCAACCAAAATAGGTCATTGATCCTCCTCAACTCTTGCAGGACAGTGTACTAATAGCCATGACCCGTGCCTCCTATAAGGTGTGAAATACATGCTCTTGACTTTTGATTTCTAATTTCTCCACAATTTGCTGACCCTCATCATTTGTACTTTCTTGCATGTATCATCAATATTTGTATTTCTCTATCAAAATTTACAAAACAAAAGTTTAAACATTCACAAGCTACAAGATTGTATGAAATAAAAAGAAAAAAATGTTGCTAACTTTGATAGTGAGTCAAAATACCTTAATATCTTCCCAAAATCTCTCCTTAGATCCTTCAGGCATGGCCCTCCAATCTGTGTACGTGAGTGGTAATTTATTACCATTCTTTACTAAGATTCCTACTTGACTTATATACTGTGTAGCATTAGGACCAATTACTTGGCCTCGTGCATTCCAAACTAACTCCAATTTCTTTCCACTACCCCAACTAGCACTTCGTCTGGCTAGTCCTCTACCACTATTGTCTCCTGTGTACAAAAAACACATACACATACAAAAGAAGAAATTGTGATTCATATAATTTTTTTTATGAATATTATACAAAGCTTATAATAAGGAATGCTAGACTCAAAACTGTTTGTGATAATCTTTTCTTTTCCAACCGACCTTCTTCACTAGAATCATCATCATCAAAAATACCATCAAAGACATCCTCTATGTCTTCTGAATCATATGAAGAACCTGATCCAGCTTCAGAATCATTGTTATCAAAGGAATCTGGTTGCTCACGATGGTCTACTAGTGGTTGAGAATGAAAGCCTTGACCGATATGTGAATTAGGATGGGAATTTAGTTGAGAATCAGCCTTGGAGTTCAACTGATGTGAATTGGCTTTAGAGTTGATCTGAGAAGCAGAAATAAAGCTAGAAGCTGAGTTTGAATTTGAATTAGGATGGGAATTAATGTGCTGGAGGCTTTGAATAATGATTGGGGTGAGTCTGATAAGATTGAGAGCTTGACTATGAAACAGGGTTCAAACTATTAGTGGACTCAATATGCGCTCCGGACATTGGCCCAACAACTTTGCGGGGCCCCTTCATACTTGGTGCCATAGAAAACCTATAAAAGCAGCTTCTGATTTTTGAAGGCAAAGTTAAGTAAGATGATTAATTTTACTGCATTTTTTCAGAAACTAATCACATAATTCAGCAAGAGAGTGTTGTATCATCTTACTTTTGGAGTTTAAATTTCTAAAATCTGCAAACACAAGGAATATATACATATTAAGGAACTATAACCCAATGAAACCAGCATTACCAACTTGCTAATATGAACATAAGGAATAATAAATTGAACATAAGGTAAATCCAGCATTACCAACCTACTAAAAAAAGAAGTAGAATGTAGGTTATCAAGGAGACTAATATGAACATAAGGAATTATAAATTGGCATCCAAGGCAGTGAAAATGATTCCACAATTAATATTTTTCATACTAATCAGTAACTTTATCTAATATTGGCATTCTAAACTTCATATAACAAAATGTTAGGATTATATTCCAAAATTAGAGTCAATCATCAGCCTTGTCTCCTTGTTGGGCTTTATCAAAAAAATCATCATCATCACTTGTATCATCAATCGTATTGCCAATCCCAAGATTATCCTCATCGGAGAAGAATCCATCATCAACTTCAACAACGTGTGCCTTGGATTTTGTAGTTTGTGCATCAAGTATAACTCCATCAACACCTTCCCTAACCCATGAAACATTACTATCCTCAGAATTATTGTTATTAACATGTTGCCAAGCAGAATGCTCATCCGGGATATCTTCACATATGTTAATTTCTGGATCAATAATGAAAAGATCTCGAGGGGTCATCTTGACAACTATATTCCATTCAGGTTCTAATGCATCTCGAACATACCAAGTTTGCTGTGCTTGAGAGCCAAGGATGAAAGGCTCATCATTCTTCGTGTTTTGCTTGTACAATATATGATCAAAGTTAACAAGTGTGAAGTTGTGTTCATCTTGTTTCATTCCAGTGACATCATCAACCCAATCACACTTGAACATCACAAAATTAATGTCATTTGAGTATCTCAACTCAACAATATCCACTAAGACCCCATAGTATTCTAAAATTCTAGATATAGAGTTCTTATCCTTTGTACTAGCGAAACTATTGGCACTAGCATTCACAAATACACCACTATTTTGAGTTTACCTTCTCATCTCACGCTTCTTAGTATGGAAACGAAAACCATTAACAATGTAACCAGAATAGCTTTTTGCCCATTTATCAGGACCAGCAACCAAATAAGCAATTTCTTTATAATAATCATGGCAACTATTAGATTTTTCCAAATCTTCAACCTACAAGTTTTGAACAAAAACTGTTATTGTATGTTAACTCTAGAGAATATTAAATATATGAAAATGAAGCTCAATTAAATTCATTACTGAATTTAAAACTTACATGCTTCTTAAACCACTTGTAAAATGTTTCACTATGAATTTTCTCCCTTTCATAGTTTGACATGCGTGGTTTTTCCAGTTTTAGCAAATGCTTATGCTCCCTACATTAGTCATTAAATACTTTAATGAAAGCAATAATTCATGAGTTTTTTATTAAGTTTGATAAACTGTGAACTTACCTGCGAAAAGGATCAACAGTTTCAAGATTTCCAAGAACATAACGATGAGCTTGAACCCAAGAGACATCATCTAAATAGATGACCTCTTCTTTTCCTAATGGACGGCCAATCTGTCTATTTAAATATTCACCTTCATAGGTCCTAGGTGGGCGATTCAACTTTGATTCAATATTGTCCAAGTACATGGAACAGAATGTCATACATTCTTCCGCCAAGAAGCCCTCTGCTATTGAACCTTCAGGGTGACTTCGACTCCGTACATAATTTTTCAAAGTACACAGATACCTATGCATAGAATTTATATTAATATCGGTGGTGATTTTTCAATGTACATAGATTAAGTTGATAATCTTTTACCTCTCAATGGGATACATAGACCGAAATTGAAATGTTCCACCAAGTTTCGCCTCTTCAGGCAAGTGAACAAGCAAATGCTCCATGATATTGAAAAGTAGAGGTGGAAACATCTTCTCAAGTTCACAAAGGGCCAGTGGAGTACGGTCCTCCAAAGTTTCACAATCTGCTACAGTAAGCACTTTCGAGTATAATTGCCTAAATATATCTCGTAACTCAATGATAATTCTGCAAACATGTTTAGGCAATATTCTTCTCACAGCAATGGATAACAATTGTTGCATTAATATGTGACAATCATGACTCTTTAACCCAGAGATTTGTCGTTCTTTAATATTCACACACCTCGAAATGTTTGATGCATAACCATCAAGGACCTTGACAGTTTTTAGCACATTACAAAAAATTTCTTTTTCATCTTTGCTCATTGTGAAGCATACAGGTGGAAGAAACACTTTGTCACCCTTAGATTGTGGGTGAAGTGCCTTTCTTATCCCCATTTCTTTCAGATCATATCGAGCATTAATGTCATCATTTGTCTTGCCCATCCCCAACAGTGTCCATAAGAGATTTCCAAGAAATTCTTCTCAATATGCATTATATCCAGATTATGTGGAAGCAAATTATCCACCCAATACGGTAACTGAAAGAATATATTCAATCTTTTCCAATTATACCTACATATGGGACTTTGTTCAGAGTCATTATTATCTTTAGTCCTCCTTTTCCTTTTCTTAGCTGAGGAAACTGGTTGATCCTTTCCAAATTCATTTCTAAAATCTCTTAGTTGTTCTAAAATCTCAAACCCATATAATCGAACAGGTCTAGAATGTTTCTCAATTGTCCCATCAAACTGTGCTCGATTTAAACGATAAGAATGATCAATAGCTAGAAATCGACGATGACCCAAATAGCAATGTTTTTTGCTATGCATCAACCATTGACTTTGAACATCTTTATTACAACAAGGGCATGCATACTTCCCTTTGGTACTCCAACTAGATAGATTTTAATAAGCTGAAAAATCATTGATAGTCCAAAGTAGTGCAGCACGTAAGTAAAACATTTGCTTACTAGCTGCATCATAAGTAGACACCCTTGGATCCCAAAACTCATTCAATTCATCAATTACTGGTTGAAGATATATGTGAATATCATTACCTGGAGCTTTAGGCCCATCAATTAGCAAACACAACATAAATGATGTTTGCTTCATGCACATCCATCAGGGTAAATTATATGGCACTAAAATCACTGGCCAGGTGCTGTATTTATTGTTCATTGCTTTGAATGGGTTAAATCCATCTGCTGCAAGTCCAAGACGAACATTGCGAGGATCACTAGCAAAGCTTGGGTGCCAGTCATTAAAATGCTTCCAAGCTAAAGAGTCTGTCGGATGCCTCAATTTTCTATCCTTGATGCGCTCCTCTTCATGCCATCTCATTAATGAAGCAGTTTTTTATGACATGAACAGCCTTTGGAGACGTGGTTTCAAAGAAAAATAGCGAACAAGCTTTGCTGGAACTTTGTTAGCTTGTTCACTTGAATCATCGGATTGTTTTACAATTTGCTTATACCTAGAAGTTCCACACTTTCTGCAAAAGGTTCATGTTCTGTCTCCTTCCAATAAATCAAGCAATTGTTGGGGCATGCATGAATTTTATGGTAGCTAAGACCCAAGTCTTTAACAATCTTCCAAGCATCACGATAAGAGCTTGGAAATAATTCATTCTCAGGAAAAACTTCCTTGAGAAGCTCCAGTAATATTGTCATTGAGTTGTTGCTCCATCGACAAAGAGACTTGACATGCAACAACTTGATGACAAATGACAGAAGAGTAAAATTTTTACATCCAAGATATAACTCTGTTTCGGCATGCTTCAGCAACTTAAAAAACTTATTAGTCTCTTCATCACAGGCTCCTCTAAGTTCTTCTAAATTTATGTTAGAATTCTCTTCAAGTGTTCTTCCAAGTGTTTTGTGTATCAATTCATTAATGTCATCATTTTCAGTGTGCCTAAACACTCCATTGCTCACATTTTCTTGATTGAAGTCCCATGGATCTTCACCATGATAAATCCAATTTGTATAAGTGGTCAAAAACCCCTTCATTGTTACATGTGCACGCACAGTTTCTTCCTTTCTTCGTTCTGAGTTTTTACATCGCCTACATGGGCAATATATTCTACTCCCAACCTCCTTCTTTTTTATAGGCAAATTTAAGGAAGTCACTCAGACACTTTTCAAAGTATGGATTATTGATTCGATTTTCAATAAAGATCCAAGACCTATCATCCATTCTACAAGAAACAAGATTGAGAAGGCAAGAAAAGAGACCTTATAAACAGAATTGAAAAATAGCAAACTCATTAACATGCCAAAAAATAAAAAATAAAGTGCAGCATGTGCATCCCAATTTGCTATGCTTATAGTGGAAGTATAAGTTCATGAAAAATGGATAAACTGATTAAGAAAGAAATTAATGTACTGTAATGGCCAAATTTTTTAAAAGATTCAATCAATCTCATGAGGAACAAAATAGCAAAGATTCAATCTGTTTAAACCATAGTAAACTACAGCTTGTAAGCAAGGAGTTTATCTCTGAAACTTCTCATCATAAAAGATGAAAGAAAAGGAAAAGAAGAACAACTTTCAGCTTTTTAATCCATGGAGGTATTTTAGCCATGATTAAGGGCCCAATGGTGGTGCACAATTCACAACAATGAAAAGGCTAATGGTGGACCTCATCATATTAGACTTAACTTTTAGATACATTTCTAAGCAGTCAGAGAAAGAGAAGTATTTTGATTCATCAGCTATCCAGATTGTCACTGAGAGTTGGAAGCTTTGCCAAACTTTTAGGTTCCAACTTAGAATTCTATATTAACTCAACTGGATGGATAATCAATCGAGACTTCAAAATTTACTGATGACTGAATATTGGTATGGCTAAGGCAAACGACTGGAGATGGATATAGGTATTATAGCAAAATTATCATGATAAGAAAGCTTTCAAAGTTTCCAAACGATAATCAAGCACTAGCATGTGCAGTAGTATAACGCACAAGCAACTAGTAACATATTGGTCAAACAGCCACTAAAGATCAGATCATAACCAGAATGACGCATAAGGAAGGACAATGAAGATGTGGTATTATTAGAACAACATCTTAGCTTGTAACAAAAAACAAAAAGTAGTCACTGAAGCGAAACGGCATATGCATACGATGCGGCATATCCAAAGTAGGTAAGAGAAGAGGATAAAAAAGCAAGAAAATTTAGTATGAGACCGGATAGCCCCAGAAATTTAGAAGGAGACAAACAAAGGATTGTCAAAGAGCAATTTAATCAGCAATATCGATAGCAAATACCACAAGTTGAAATGAGTAAAGTGAAAATATCACAAAGAAATTGAACTTAATTACCTTGCCTTTGAACCAGAAGAGCTCGTAGAATTGTTGATTGAGTTGTCTCAAAGCTACAATTGGTTTATCGATAGAGAACCAAATCCAACCGAGGATACCAATTTATTCACCTTTCAAAAGACGACCTAAAACTGAAAGAAAATTCGGTTTGATATTTCTATTGCAGATATAAAACTAAGAAACAAACACAAAAATTAATTGACCAGGAATTAGGAACCGAAGGTATTTCTACTGCATCATTAGAAATCAAAGGGAATTGAGAGATAAGAGAGAGAGAGAGACGTGGAATTAGGTTGTTTGCTTTCAGACTTTGGAAAGAATCAGATTTTTACGTATTTAGGTATTTAGGTATCTTTAAAACATCGTTTTTCCCCCCTTTTTTTGGACTTTATTTTCTTTTCTTTTATGGATTTTTATTAAAACTATGTCATTTTTATGCAAAAATTATGAACCGCTGTGAAATTTGCAGCACAAATTGAAATTTGTTGCTTATTTGCCCCACTTTCTCCTTGTGCCGCAGCAAAAGCGTTGCAAAAAGCCCGTTTTCTTGTAATGATCTGGGAGGGTAGATGGGTTTCAAACTTGACAGGAGGTAAAATTCAATCAGCCAAACCTACCAACTGTGAAATCATCAAGGTGAAGCAGCTGATCAAGGGACAACAGTGGGATCCAGGTATCATAAATAGGCTATTTTCTGAAGAAGAGAGTGTAGCTACTCAAAGCATCCCTTTAAGCCTCTATGATGGCCGAGACAGAATAAGATGGAATCTCACAAGGTCGGGGATCTACTCAGTCAAGACAGGCTACTCTCTTTTAAAGGAAATGACAAAGAACCATAGACCAAGCAAGTTTGATCAGAATGGACAAAGCACAGAGCCAAGTAAAGAAATGATCTGGAAAAGACTTTGGGGACTCAACTTGAAGCATAGGATTAAGCACTTCATCTGGAAATACCTCAATCAGACCCTCCCAACAAATGAAACAATTGCCACACGGATAGGGAAAGGATGCAACGTTTGCCGAAGATGTGGAGAAGAAGTAGAAACAATTGAGCACTTATTCTTTTTTTGCAGGAATGTCCAGGATAGCTGGAAGCTATTCCCAATTCAGTGGGATGGATGCCTCGAGCACCAGTGGAACTTCGGAAGATGGTGGGGCAAATTACAAGAGGCTGCTCACAGGAACCAGGGATCAGATCATATTGCCCTGACAGCAAACTTCCTGTGGCACTTATGGAAGAGCAGGAACGAAGTCTGTTTCAATTCTAAGGTTCAAGAAAGCCACCTGATAGTCACCAGAGCTCAACAAGAATGGCTTGAATATGAAGAGATAGGGAAAGAAGAAAGGAGTCAAATCTCGGATTCAAGCCCCACAAGTCTGACCAGTGACAGGTTGTCAGGCCTGTGCAATAATAAAAACCTGCTCAACTAAAAGTAATTTCTGTAGATAGTGGTAAGCATGGTCGAATCCACAGGGATTGGGTGTAATTGTTTCTTTTCAAATTCACAATAATCAGGGGGCATTTTTGTGCAGAAGACGACAAACAAAGAAATTCAAATAAAATCTAAGAAACTACTAAAAATTAAATAACAATTTACGAAAATCAAATGAATGATAACTAATGATCTAGCCAAGGAATAATTTCAGCAATGGTTCACCTAATTGATCATCGATGCAAAGTCAATTCCAATTATTTACTAATAAATAGGTTATAACTGCCAAACAAGCGATGACAGTCAACCCCTCCTTACTGTGTGGGTGATTAAGGTACGCCCGTTAACCACTGTTCTAATTGAGAAATAATCCTAGATACGCCCGTAAGATTTAATTCCCCAATTGCCTTACGTATTAGAGGAGTCCTATTCTAATCAAATAACGCACTACCAGGGTTATTTTAGATTAGCTCGCGTATTCTCCTGGCACAAATCCAATCATGCCAGTTGTCACTATATCAAGTCAATTAAATAATTACGGATTTAATGCCCTAATTGACAATAGATTACCAAATTAACTAATTATCCGGATCCAATACAATCAATTAATTAAATAACCATAAGTAATGAAATCAAGAATATGCGAATACCAATAAATAAAAGAAAAATATAAAATTAAATCGATCTCACAATTTTTAGGCGAATCAAAGCCTCCGTTGTTCCTTGACTAGACAAAGGGATTTAACTTATCCCTTGTCTACTCCTACGGAAAAGAAAAGAAAAGCAACTAAAGATGAAAGGAAAAGTCAAAGGCTCTACCCTTTCTCCTGCCGTGCGTAAGAATCAAAAAGCAAAAAGAGATCCCATGGAAAAAGTCAACAAAAGCTAAGCTAAAGAAGAAAAAGAAGTCCCCTGCTCCTAATTCTAATTCCTATCTAATCGCTAACTCTACTGTGCGGCGCCCCTTTTATTGCTATCCTTTGCGGCGGCTCTCCCCTTCCAGGAAGACTTCGGCCAAAATGACTAAAAAGGCCTCGCGTCTCTTTTGTTCCAAAAATGTCCCTGAGTGTCTTCTTTTTTAATTCTTTCCCGATGACTGTCAAATTGGCATTGGTTGTGGCATTTTCATTCTACTCCCTGAAATAAATGTAAATTACGAAAAGTGAGTAGAATCTAATAATTAATTCACATCAGGTCAGGTAATAGGAAAAATTAATAATAAAATAAATAATGAAATTGTAACCGATCAACCAGGTTACCCACGGTGGAAGTCCCAGGAGCAATGTGTGTGGCCACCTGTGGAGCTGTAGATAGAACAAGGAAAAAGGCAGGAATGGGAATAGTAGTCAGAGATAACAGTAGGAAGCTAACAGCAACAAAGGCGATCCCTTTAACTTTCAGTGGAGATAGGATCTTAACAGAAGCTCTAGCAATTCGTATAGGATTGTTATTTGCAATGGAACAATAGTGGGCTTCTTTAGAGATCCAATCTGAATGTAAAGCCTTGATAGTTAGACTAAGGTTGTGTTTGGATTGCATTTTCCGTCATTTTTCATGGAAAAATTACTGTAGCGATTTGATATATGTGAAAAAAAAAGGTGATAGGGAAATGTGATCACGGAAAACGACAATATTTTCGACGGAAACAAGCAATCCAAGCATGGCCTAAATAAAGAAGCTGAAGATGAATCCCAGCTTGCAGTCATCATCAGAGATATAAAGCAACTCAAAGCATCCTTTTGGAAGTGTAATTTCTACTTAGTTAGTCAGTCCGAAGAGAGAGTTAGTTTTAAGCTTGCAAAATTTGCAACCAAACTGATAAATGATGTTAAGTGGGAAAGATCTTTCCCCCTGTGGCTCAAACGAGCATCACAATCCTGACGGAGCAATTGCTCTCTTTTGTACAATGCTGTATAGGTACAAAATTAATTAGGGATAATATCAGAAACCTCCCCTGAGGTTTCTTCAAATATCACTTAGCTCCCCTCACATTTTAGAAATCTCTCTTACCACCCCTCAAGTGATAATAGGTCAGCAGTCAACAAGAAATCTAATCAATTGTCAATAATACCCTTTGCTCTGCTGTTAACTTATTCAGCTGATAAAATGCAAAAAATGTCTGAGAGAGCAAGCATGAAACTGTATAAAGCCCGGGACAGCTTTGCCGCCTAGAAGCATGGGTTCCGTACGAGTTGCATGGCGCCATTTTGCTGTGATAAGACGTCTAATTGCCCGGGAAATGAAGAGGAATGAAATACTACTTATAACTGTGATTGTTATTTGATAGTATCTTTCTGGAAATCTCTCGCTGGACATTGCAGAGGAGGAGAAATATTGCAAAGTATTGAATTGCATGCATTCGGTTGGAGGGAAAATGATTTTGTCAAAACTGAGATGCACAACAGGTAAAAATCTTCCATTGCTAGTTGATATGATATGATCAACATGTAGAAGGAGAACTTGTCGAGTGTCATGAAGTGTTCTGAGTTTAACATTGCCGAAATGATCTCTGTTTTGTTGTGTTTTTCTGTTTTGTTGGACTTGCTGTGGCTGAATTCCATTGGTAGTTGATATGATGAACATGTAATAGGAGAAAATGCAGGTGTCATGAACTCTTGGTCATGATTTGCCTATAATGTCTCTGTTTTCCTTGTGTTTTTGTGGTTTGTTGGACTTGATGACCAAGTTTAACATCCAACCAGAGTGAATGCAACAGGGGACCTTATATTAAGTATTGCACATGATGGATGCTTAAAGAATGTCTGATTTGATGAACTATGCTTGACCTTTATTTTATTGGTTCAAAAAAGTTGATGAATATTGAGTTGAAACTAAGCTGTAATACATAACAACAGCTTAGCTTTGTAGCTTAACTTTGTAGCTTAGCTTTGCAACTTGAGTTTGACTTTGATTAAGCATGCGTGTGTTATACTATGTCCCTTGTGAGAATATGTGAAATTAGAGCTACTGATTCAAACTTTTCTTGCAAACACACTGATATATAGGATGGGAAGAATTATTGCACATGATATTCTAGTCCATTACATGGAAAACACTGTCAGAATTCCTAATGTTGATCCAAAGAACTACCAATATATTGACCTTCTTGGTGATGTTACTGATAAGGCAATGAATGATTTGCCTGGAAATTTGAACATGTTTGTGCATATGAAATGTGCGATTCCTAGGACAACAAGCTTTATGGACATCAGTAGTGACAAATCAGTCCTTGATATGTTCAAACTTCATGAAAATGATCTTGTTATAAACCTGTACTTGCTGCACCTGGATATTATTCCTACTACAGAGGAGAATATGGTAGAGGACAGGAATAACCAACTTATTGTGGCACAGAAAGACATAGGAATTGAAAATGCTCCTATTCCTGTAGTTGACAGTGAGGGTGATGATGAGATTTATGCTTCTAGTTCTGATGACTCTTGGAAGGATGACATAGATAGTGACTTGGAAGATGTCATAGCTGAAGATAGGGCCTTAATTTCTAGTAGTGATAAGGACGAAAATGGCTTGTCTGATTATGAGGAGATTGAGGATGCACAAGTTGTGCCTGATTCAGAATCTGACAGAGAGCCTGATCCTATGAGAGCAATTATGCAGTCAAAAATGTGGACTTACAATCCAAGAGAGGACATTGAGTTTGAAAAAGGGATGCTATTTACCAATGTGGGTGCATTTAGAGCAGTATTGAAGGACTATGCTATTCAGAAAGGATTTCCATTGGTGAGGTTGAAAAATGAAAAGAGCAGGTGCACTGCCAAATGTGGTGCTGAGGGGTGTAACTGGAGGATTCATGCATCCCCGGTTGGTGATACAACCACATTCATGGTTAAGACATATACACCTGAGCATACGTGTGTCATGAATAGGAAAAATTCAGAAGCTACATCAGATTGGATTGCAAAGAAGTTAATTTCTGTTATGAGAGATCACCCGGAATTGACAAGTAAGGGAGTAAAGGCTGAAATGCAGAAGCATGGAGTCTTGCCAAGTAGAATGCAAATTTACAGGGCAAAAAAAAAAGCCTTAGAACAGATAGAAGGATCACATAGTGAGGCCTATGGAAAAATACCAAAATATGCTGAACTGTTGAGGATGCACAACCCAGGAAGCATCATGAAAATTCACTATGACAGGCCAAACGTTCTGGTAGAGCCTAAATTTCTGAGATTGTTTATCTCTTTCAAGGCACAAAGAGATGGTTTCCTGGCAGGTTGCAGGCCATTTATTGGTTTTGATGGCTGCCATTTGAAAGGTGCATTTGGGGGCATTCTGTTGACTGCTGTTGCTCTTGATGGGAACAATAGTTTGTTTCCATTAGCTTTTGCTGTGGTAGAGTGTGAAAACAAGGAAGCCTGGAGTTGGTTTTTTTACTATTTTCAGGAATTCTTTGGACCATTTTCAGCCAATATTCCACTCACCTTCATGAGTGATAGACAGAAGGTATGTTTCTTCATTTCTGTGATTAAGCATGTTTCAGATTTCCTCCATGACTGTTATAGTGGCTGAATCAAGTGCCTGAAGGAAAGAGCTACTGAAACTTCTGTATAGGGACTGATGACCTTGTACTTATATTTTATAGGGACTCAACCTTGCTTATGAGGAACAAGTGCCTGAAGCTGCTGCACGATATTGCTGTTGGCATATCTACTGCAACTTCAAAGTCAAATTTCCAGGATTGCTGCTGAGGAGATATTTTTGGCAAGCAGCTAAAAGTTATGATTTGATAGGACACAATGAGGCTATGGAAAGAATAAAAAATATTAATATAGATGCTTGGAGATACTTAGCAAACATTCCTAAGTGTAATTGGGCAAGACATGCATTTTCTGTTGAAATTAAGTGTGATCATGTCACCAATAATTTCACAGAATCTTTTAATGCATGGGTTGGAGAATTGAGAGGAAAGAATATACTTGCTCTGGCTGAAGGACTGAGGCAAAAATTCATGAAAAAACTGCATAAGAGGTATCAAAAAGGCTGCACATGGACATCTAGTGTTACTCCACATGTGATTGGCAAGCTGAAGGATATTGCAGCTGAATCAAGAAGGTGTTCACTGATAATGGCAAGTGACAACACGTTTGAAGTAGCAGACTATGATAAGTCCTATATAGTCAAGTTGACTGATAGGACATGTGAATGCGGGGCTTTCCAGTTGACAGGCATTCCTTGCAAGCATGCTGCACTAGGAGCTCTTTATAGAAGGGAGAAACTGGAAAGCTACTGTGATGCAGCCTTTTCCATTGATCAATACTTGAAAACGTATGCATTCATGATCAATCCAATTCCACATATGAATAGGTGGCCTCCAATGGAAGATGTGACACCAGTAGTAGTTTTGCCACCACCACTTAGAAGAAGAGCTGGTAGACCAAGAAGAAATAGGAGAAGAGCAGCTAATGAAGGAGCTCCTGCACCTCAACACAAGAGATCAATCAGTTTCAGGTGCTCAAAGTGTGGCAGATTTGGACATAATAGGAGAACTTGTCAAGGAGCTCCTGTTGCTGAAAAAAGAGGGAGCAGTACTTCTACAAATCAGGCAGCAAGTCGAAGAGGAAAACCAGGAAGAGGCATTGCTAATACTAGATTAGCAGGATCTGTTCTATGGGTAATTGAAACAATGTCAAATTATAGTATCTGATTGTGTATTAATTCTGTTCAAATGAGCTTAGCTTTGTGATCTGATTTGTCAGGAACATGCACAAGGAAATGTCCCAGTCATTGTATCAAGTCAAGGCAGTAATGGAAGCACTCAAAATCGTGTTGCTGGAGCTCATGTTCAACTTAATCATTCTGCCTGCACTAGTACTAATACCAGAAAGGTTTAGTTCAAATATCATTCTGCCTGCTAACTATTCTAACTGTCGACCAGCCATTAGTTTAATAAGATTTGTTGCATGGCTTCAGAGAGGAGGGCCAAATGCAGGAACTGAGAGGACTACAGTTGCTAACAACAACAAGAGAGCCAGACCTTCCATTGCTGTTGGCTCAGAACAAACTCCAGCAGTCACTGCATCTTCAATATCCACTTCTGCTGGTATGGGATCTCACATTGACAATAGCAGCACCAGTATGAGGTTCTAGTTAGTGCTAGTATTATGAGTTTTGCTTTGGGAAGCTAATCTGGTACATTTGTATACGTAGCAATCCTCATCATCTAGAATGATGTTCTTAGATGATGTTGCAAATGAGATTCTTGTTGATTGCTACATATTTTTGTTTAGTTGTATATGTAACGTTTGCCAAGTGGTTAATTGCATTCCCAGTCCTAGTGAACAACTTCAAATACTGATGTTTTGGTACTTATGTTTGGGAATTGTAATTTACTCTTGCCAAGTATGCTCTGCTGCTTCCCAGTCCCATGCTCTTGCAAAAATGTCATGCTGTGTTTTTTCGTTTAACTTTATGACTCTGATTCCTTAGGATTATGTGTGAAACTAGTACTGT